TATTAAAGATATACACCATATATGATTCCTTTTTATTCCATATACATTGTAGATACACTTCTTTGTAAATGAAGTGCTATGTTCACTCAGAAGAATCTGATTGGCTGTTTCAAGGTCATCCGAAATTCACAATATTTAAATCAAGAACAAAAGCCTCTTTCTCATTTAAACTACTCAATTTACCAGATTTCTTCTGTTAAGATTATTATTTTTCATGGTAATAATACATACTAATATATCTACAAAAATTATATATACACTCATTTATTATGCATGAGTATATCAGACTGATATCATATAATAACTACCCTCAAGTATGACTATCTTCCTTCGTGAGAAACAACTTCTTTTTCAATACAATCTGGGTGTTAACTTCAGTACTTTTACACAGGAGAAAAAGGAATTCCACCTACATCAAATCCCTTTTTTATATTCTTTCATTTAATTATAAACCTTCCCATTAGTTAACTAATTCACACCATGATTCCTAAATCTTTGTTGGTCACTACTGCTTTATGACTGTATCTTGGTAGCTTGTTCTTTTGGGTATTTATTGTTTATTCAGGTCGAATTTCTACTGTTTACTTTTCGAGTTTTTTATAAGACGGATTGGTTGTTCTAATCCCACCCATGCTTTATGAATGTATGCCTATTTGATCTTCAGGATTTTTCATCTAAATCAATTGGAATTGTGTTGTCAAATTACAACATAAACTAGCCTTTAAGGTTTGTTTTCCTTCGAAACTGAACAGACTCGAATGCAGTTAGATTATGGGACTTGTAAGGATTAGCATTAATTTAATTTCGACTTTTAAATTTTGTCGGGAACCAACATTAAGTGGATAGATCACTGAAAACCATTGAGTACTGAACAACTGTCTTGACCTACATCGGGACTCTTCAACAATCCACACTTATGACCCGGAATTTGACTGACTGACTGACTGATTGACTGACTGACTGACTGATTGACTGACTGACTGACTGGCTGACTGCCTGACTGACTGACTGGCTGACTGACTGACTGACTGACTGACTGACTGACTGACTGACTGACTGACTGACTGACTGACTGACTGACTGACTGACTGACTGACTGACTGACTGACTGACTGACTGACTGACTGACTGACTGACTGACTGACTGACTGACTGACTGACTGACTGACTGACTGACTGACTGACTGACTGACTGACTGGTCTCAACATAGAACTTTACACCAATGTGCAGCAGTTCGAGTCACCACACTCAATGCAGCACACAAAGCCAAAGAAGAAGGTAAAAAGAAATACAAAATAGAGACAACAAACAGAGATATGAGGCAACTGATATCAATCCGCGATCAACCCGTAAAAGCAAAAGGAATAGTAATATTGAAGAACGATATAGTTTTATTGGAAGTTATAAGTCACAAGAAGTGAATGCATCTGCGCCAGCCATTGAGAAAGATGAGTTTGAACCATATCACCGACTGTCTCCAGCCTTCATTGGTTCTTAATATCCCGAGGACTCCCACCAGGAAGCCAGTCTACACCTTCCTACGTGGCTGACTTAAACTAATTGTTGTGGATTTAATTTCTCTTCTCCAGCCTGATCCATCCTATGTCAGCTAACATTCCCCATTGTCGAGGAAGGTGATGGCTAGGGATGCATGGCGTAACACATGTCCTAACCATCCAACTCAGTAGATGTAACTTCAAAGCCACATCCATTTATTTCCCCTCCCTCCTTACCTAGCACTCGACCGATGCCTAACCTCACTATTGTTCACCCTATTATACCACCTAACACACACGGGAGATAGAACGCAGGCACCTATGATCAAAGACAGCCAGCCAGCCTTTTCATGTCTTCCATCCTCAACAGCCAGGTCTCATAGCCATAAAGGAGGGTGGAGCGGACTACTGAGTAGTACACAAGCCCTTTGGTTGACAGCCGGCCGGATATCACGTCTACGCCAGAGACAGCGTAAATTGATTTATGCAAAAGACGCGGAATCTACACGTTACGAGACCAAGATTGTTGATCACAGACCCGAGAATTCTAAATTTGTCAACTAGTGATATATCTCTGCCCTCCCTGATCCTGTGGATGACATTCCACTTAGAGTTCACGGTTCACTGAAACTCAGACCAAGTGGTTTAATTGTCAACGAGCTCGGTTTCGTAACCTTAAGGTCCTAGATTCGTTAAAGAGTGGGAACGTGGGTACGCAACTCTGAAGAGTCACAGAAAAGGATGAAACAGCTGTTCAGTGCTCCTCGTCTAGCAATAATCTCTCTCGTTTATATTGGTTCACAACGAAATCGAACAATTGAGACTCTAATTCAATGTGTAATTTTTATCAGGAGATTTAGAGTACTCATGAGTAGTTTGATTTCATTAGTGAAATGTTTCAGTAACTTTTCACTAGCATGACAACAAAGTTATTGTAAAAGCTTTTGCGCTTCCCAAGGAACGAAAACGAAAACGACATGGTTTGGGAAAATACAAAAACTCTTCTAGTGATGAATTTCATGTACCCAATGCCCTAATTCCTTCAAACTGTCAAAAGTGACTCTGAATTGTTCATATATGACTACAAAGTTCGAATATCAATAAAGTTAGCATTTCATAATAAGCTGAAAGAGACTGGATAAAAGAAGTAAAAAGTGAGGAAATTTAAACTTCACTGGTGACTCTGAGGTGATTTTCAATACATCTATTTCTAGAATTATATCTAGACAATATTTTTCAGTAAATTATAAAAATTTAATAATTTTAGTCACTGTGGTTCAGTAAAGGGTGGGAATAAAAGCCATCACGTGGTAATTTCACTCATAGTCTGGCAAATGCCATAATAAATAGTTAAGCTATCCAAAAAGCTCCATAAGGCACTTTTCAAAACAGCCAGATGTTACAGCATTCATCTGAACACGTAATACAATATCACATAAAATCAACTACTGGAGGGAATTCAAACCGTGATTGACTGCCACCATGTTCTATCTATTCACTTAGGCAGAAAAAAAAGTATGGCAAGTTTGTTTTGCTATGTAGTAATACATATTGAATCTTCAGTAAGACTAAATAAGAGAACTCGTAAAAGTCATCAGTACGCAGTGTTGGCTGAAAACAGGAAGCTTTTGTAGTTCACTAGATTAGGGGATAAAATTTCAGTGTTAGAAATGATAAATTCTGGTCTCTAGTATGTATGAAAACAGAATCGTTTACTGGAATTCTCTCAGATTCATTTAATATTCTACTAACAAGGTGAAACATGCGGTGGCATTTCACAGCCAGCCAAAACTTAACAAATAAGATGAGACATTTTAGTTCAAGTATTCGTTTTGTAGGCAATTTTGTTTGATTGTTTGGAGGATTTCATCATGAGCTGACATCAGCTAGAGAACCATTGGAAAACCTACCTGGGAGTACTGGAGAGCCACCTGTTTCTTCAGCGTAGTTTGGAACTCTTCCTCAGTATGCACCCGCCCACCGAAGGGGTTCGAACCTAGGACATTCTGGTTACAAGGCAAGCTAGCTCGTAGACCATTAAGCCACTGAGAACCTATTCAATGGCCCGTGAATTCTTAGTGGCTAAATAGTCTACTAGCTCACCTTGTAACCAGGAGGTCCTGGTTTCGAACCCCAGCGGGTGCGTACTGTTGAGGAGTCCCAAACTGAGACGAAACAGGTGTCCATTACTCCTTGCTGATTTTCCAATGGTTTTCTAACTGACGTCAGCTCATGATAAAAAAAATCCTCAAACCAAATTTTAGTTCGGTTTATCTATGATATCTAAATGATGGCAATTATCTGAATACTAAGCATATTGTGTTTGAGTTACAGCAGACTATCTCATCTTTATTTTTACGAAAAAAATCCAGTGAAATACCATGAATTAATAAGTGTGAATAAAGTTAAGCTAAACTACTGCGAAATCTCACATTTTCGTTGCCAATGCTTGGTTAAAATAATAGCTGGATATTACCAGGAATTAAAAGCCTTTGTAAAATATATGTATATATAATAAGAGAAGCTATTCTATGCCCTGAATTATATAATATCGTTATGATTCAATTTAATCGTTTTTAAAGTAACGCAATGAACCAAAAACAAGGACCTACCACCCACAGGAAATGGAGATGGACTGGACATACATTGAGAAGACCCCTGAGTAACCTAACGCATCAGGCCACAGAGTGGAGCCAGAAACGAAAAGCTAGGTGTAAATCCGAAGGTGATCTGGATGACATCATGTCAGGAGGAGATGAAAGGCTCATGGGAAATCATGAAACTAGCTAAAGAGGACTGAAGAAAACAGGAGGAAATGGAAATATACTACCGAAGCCCTATATATCACTTGTGACCCAGAAGGAGTAATAATAATATTGATCTGTCAAAGCGAACACTAATTTTCATTGACTTCAGAGTAATATGTGATCTCCTTTCACATGTCAAAAGACAAAATGCATTTCATCAAAACTGCAGGTAAACAGACAGATGTCATATGGATAAAGAAAAGATCTGTGTGAAATACAAACTCCTACCACCGTGTCAAATATTCGGACTGTTGATATCAGATGGTTGGAGGCAATCAGCAGGAAGCCCAGTCTTCGGCCTAGGTTTCTGAGATTCGAACCCGCGTCACCCAGTGAGTACTACAGTCAGAGACGTTACCACTGAGCTATTCGGGCTTGCAACTGACCTCCTGTACGACTGTAGTGGGTGCCAACTAGCACGAAACCTAGGTCAAAGGCTGGGCTTCCTGCCGATTGCGTCCAATCTTCTAATACCAACAATTCAAAGTACATCGTGATGGCGAACTACTTAACATAGTGGCCACATTGCAAACATGACTGATAGAAAGCAGAGGACTAGACACATCACACTAATTATCAACTAGTCTCCAATCAAAATGTTTGGATAATCAAATCACACTTCGTCGTTTGCCTTATCCTAACTAAAACTGTAAAATACGATTGGACAACACTGAGAACAAAGTTGAGAAGACAGTAAATACCATTTTCTTTTCTTTTCATTTTTTAATTTCACCGTATGAAAATAAATCGATTACTTAGTTAACATCATACTGTATCATTTTGTTTCACTAAGTTCATTATTACATTTATTCTGTCAAATTGATGACATTTCAAGTTATTTTCCAAAGGCCAATAGCTTAATATTTTTAATATTCAAGAATCTTTGTCGGAATAGATACCTAAAATTAGAGGTTAAAAGAAAAAGAAATATGCTTGCATAAATTAGCGAACATTATTCAAACAAAAATGCATTGCATTACATGAATGAGGTATGATTTAAACAACTAATTTATCTCATATGGAAATATAAATTTAAACAAGTAATAACTTTCGTTATAATAAAGGTTTTCCCTTGTATTTTCCAATGAATGAAAGACAAAACGATATTGTTGTTTTTTGCTGACGTTTCACTATTCAATGCTGCTGCAAATAGCTTTATCAAAGTATTATCCAGTTTCCCCAATAGTCGCTGACCTTTTCATGAATATATTCGAAGATAATATCTTTTCAAGCATGCTCACTCCTAAAATATGGTTAAGATATGTAGACGATACTTTTGTAGTGCTAAAACGAGATATTCACGGTTCATTCTTGGAGAAATTAAACAATCTATCACCCAGAATCCAGCTTACTTCGGAAGCAAAATCAGACATTGGTGAACTACCATTACTAGATTGACTAGTTAAAAGGAGGGAAAGCAGACATTTTAGTGTATCTATATTCAGGAAGAAAACCCACTCCAATAAATATTTAGACTTCAGATTATCACACCCTATCAGCGAAAAGGTGTTACTTGTTTCAAGTCTTCTTAGACGAGCACACTCTCTGATAACGGATGAGCAAGAAAAAGAAGAAGAAATATCAAACATTACTGAAACTCTCAAGCAAAACAACTACCCAAGGAACTTCATCAAGAAAATCAACACAGACATTAAGTATGGTCGAAAAGGCATTTCGGAAACATGGACCTCAATTAATATATGTGTAAAACTTGGCCACTGTGGTAGTAAGTAATTCCATATTATTTTGTTTATTAGATGTATCACACAGTCAGTGAAGCAGTATTATATATTGGAGGACGTTTCGAACACAATTTATTGTTCATAATCATTTCATCAATTATAATCACACGACTTCGAAACTTGAGTTTTATAGTCTTCTTTGTCTTCTCCTATTTGTCGTAGGGGTAGTAGAATTTTCCAGATATCTGGTTGGACAGGTATTGAATCATTCCTATTACATGTATTTGCAGTTGATTGGATAAACAAAGCTTCTGTTATCAATCTCTCCCTCCACCCTGTAACATTAGATTTTAAAACTGTCATCTTATCCAATCCTATTGTATGGTTGTGTGTAATTGCATGTGGTGTGTGGCATAGCTGAACTATTCTCTAGATTTCTTATCTTATTCGGTTGACCCAGAACAAAGAACAAAATCTGAATACTCAACATTAATGTCCAATCTGTGTCTATGAACGGTTCAGAGATTTTGCGCGCTCGTCAAGAGAAGCACTTCGAACAAGCTAAGGCAGATTTTCATCGACAACTGACTTCACTCAATACTGAAGATCATATGGCGGACGAGATAGAACAAGAAAAAAGGAACTCTTGCGGACAACTGACTATCCAGGAATCTATCACCTAGCAAATATTTCGAAGGAAATAGAGAGTGAAAAGAAACACTCAAAGGAAACCGTTGAGTAACACCGCACATAAGTCAGGCCCTCGAATGAAAGCCGAATTAGAAAACGACAAGCTGGGCTTGAATCCGAGTGTGACATGGGTAACATCATGTCAGAAGGAGGTGAGAACTTATGCGCAACCGTGGAGCTACCTAAAGGGAACTGTGAAGAAAGGAAAGATTTGGAATGGGCTTCCGAGGCCCTATGTTTCATTTGCAACGAAAGGGAATGATGATAATAATAATGACGACTAGGATCAGTTTATTGACTGCGCTGTAAAATTAGAGAAATCGGGTTCAACATGATGACGTAATAACATCAGTCATATGAGATCAATGAACGGGACGACCATAATAATAATCTCAACAAATAACAACTGAAATATGCTGCACAACATACTGCTCACGTGACCCGGTGGCCTAGTGGATAGTGCCTTACAATTTTCGATGCTGGGTTCAATGGGAACACCAACAATTATTGGGAATACAGGTAAACCCACCTGACGTGTCCCAAACAGACCGGAATATACATCCTGGATATCACTCCCAGCCATTACCAACCAGACAACAACAAGGTTTCACGGAATGCCTTCTTGTCTTTTTCCGAGATGATGCAATGAGAATTCTGTGGATACACAGGATATTCAGATGACTTTGACCAACAGTTTTCATGAATTCATTTCCATAAATTATCATCAAGTAATAAAATCGAATAAAACTAAGTCAATAAAGATAAATTCGAATTTTCCTTAAGATTACGTTTTGATAAATTCCATAATGATATTGGGTTCTACCTATTTCCCAAAGTAGTGTGATTAAGTTCCCAATCAAATAATAAAGATTAACGTGAGCTTAAATTTTTCCATGGTGGGACATATTTGAAATTTTCATGAATTGAACATGTTTGAATGACAAAATGAAAAATATCAAATAGATAAGGACGTATATAACATTACCAAATGCCTAATAAATTGTGGTCTATTCAAAAATATTTTAACTCACCAGAAGTTGTACAGATAACCCCTAAATTAAAGTGGGAAATAATTTTTGTTTGAAATGAATCATATGATTGAATGGTTGTGTCATTCAATATCTATCGAGCTGATGTTCAATGCAGTTCGTTCCATTTGTCCCGAGTGCAATATAAGTCTCAAAACTATGCACCTTGAAGTCTGAGTAGTGATGTATTTTTTTACAAAGCGGGGTTGCCAGCCACCCCCCCCCCCGCAATTCCTTCTCTTCCCATCCTAAAACAGGCTAGTAAACTAGATAATGGTTCGAAGATCGTCAGTCAAGAACTGGACCGAAACCACGTGCGTGTTCAACGGGCAATCTGCTACTGAACCAATGATACAACATGCATTAGATTTTTTCCCACACGTTCCCAGTGGAATATAGGGCCTCAAGCTAGTGGCTTGAAGTTTCTCTAGCAGTGTTTATTTTACAGGATGCGGTTGCTAGCCTCATTCCCAACCTTTCCTCTTTACAAGGATTATTTCTGGCTTAGCGAGGTAAAGGAGTGCGTCAGCCGGGGATCGAACCCCGGACCATGTGCATCGTCGGCGAGCATCCTAACCGCTAAGCCACTGACGCACACATTAGATTACTGATTTGTATTTAAGTAGTCGAATTCTTTTCACATCATTAATGATGGCAATCTGTTTATTCTACAATTTATTATTTTGGTTTACTAAACACAGAATTTATGAACTTATCAATCAGTCTGGAAGTATGTCTGAAATACTCTCAGAAAATAATACACTGAGTCGGTTAGAACGCCGGCGATGAGGTGTACGAAATATCCTCGATTTCGATGAACACATGTGTGATCTAGAAGCAAAGCATGTGTTTATAAGGTAGAAAAATCCGACATTTCAAGTGTGCATATTTCAATATTAGATGGTTGGAAGCAGTCGGCAGGAAGCTCAGCCTTGGACCTAGGTTTCATGCTAGTCGGCAACCGCTAGTCCACAACCATATAAGATCAACAATTCAAAGTTCATTTTGGATGACAAGCCACCTAGTGGCATGGTGGCCGCAATGCAAACCTGATTGATGGAATTCAGTCTGCACCAAACTAGAGGACTAGAAACATCACACTAATTACTATCTAGTGTCCAATAGGAAAAAACTTATTTGCATTTCCTGAATGTCAAGACAGATATCCCTTAAAAATACAGGAGAATTTAACTTCAAGCAAATCATGCTGATGAAAGCGTTCTAAGCACCAGACAACTATTTAATTCAGGAAGTGTGAAAAGACTTATTAGCTAGAAATCCTAACTGATTCACTTTGGGAAATCAAATCTGCCTACTTAAACTTTCTGAAAAGTGACCCAAAGACATGAGTGGACTAACAGAAGTAATAAAGAAAGCAAATTTCAGCATGGTTCTCATCAACCTGAGTATACCTTGTTATCAGTTCCATTTTCAAAAAGTGAAGGTAAACAGATGTTTGAAATTCGAACAGCCAATGAAATGTCATCATCAAGATTTTATTTTAGAAGGTCTATGTACAGCTTTGCAGTCATTTTTCAAGTGGTATGCCATATACTGAGTCAGACTGTAGTTCTCAGAATCGAAAACATAACCAAAACAAATAAGCTTTAAGAATGAATAACGAATTAATTTCTGTGTGGTTCAAAGACTTAGCGTGTTACCAAAAGCATTTCAAACAGGCTTCGGACTTTTATTAAGAGCTGCCTTCACTATTTTTTTATAGTAAGGATCAGATGGTCACCAGTAAGGATTAACACCGATGTACTCCGACAACGAACGAACAAGTATTCCGATTGAAATAGAGATGGATTAGAAAAAAACTGCTGAGGAGACCGTGAAGCAACCTCACACATGTAGGTGGACGTCGAGTGCAATCTGAACAGGAGAAGACGAGTTGGGTGTGAGAGGGTGTGATATTTAGGAAATCATGTGAGGAGGAGGTAAAAGCTTATAGGGAGTTGTGAAACCAGCTAAAGCGGACTTCAGTGATTCCACTCGGAACCAAAAAGAATAATAATATAACAATGAAAAACCAAAACAATTGAGCAAAGAATATCCTTTTCGAGAATAACCTTTTCTGGCTCTACTCGGAAGAATGTTTTGATGAGAAACTTAATAATATTAAACGGTTGCTGAGTAAAAACAGTTATCCAGAAAATTTTATGATAAGAATATGAATCTAAAATCAAAGCAGCCCAAAGTACAAACAGTTCCTAAAAAATCCTCATTCTTACGAATGCAATTCCTTGGGGATAAAATCAGAGAGATACTAACACAACACTCTAGGAATGTGAGCATTCCCTGTTGCTGAATTAAGCTGTACCTTCAAAACCACGCCTAATTTTCATTCGGGAGTAAAAGATAAACTGCCTAATTTTGCCTCTTCCACGTGTATCTATCAATTTAACTGCTCCTGTGGAGCCAGTTATATAGGCCATGCAATTAGGGATGTTTCTTGTCGGACCTCAGGAAATCACCCTGCATTGTGGATAAGTAAAGGACAAACAAAATCCATTCATAGCGCTATTCTATTTCATCTTGTGGATACAGAACACAAGATTGATGTTAACCAGGCTTTTAAAATCATTTACCGCATACCAGCAAATCTTAACTTCGCCCTAAGAGTTCGTTTACTAAATACTGCCTAGGCCGTTAGGATCCACATTAATAAGCCTAATTTATGAGTCTGAAAGAAGCTAGTTAGGACATTGTCCTTACCTTGGCCATTAAGGTTCTAATGATCCTCAATTTTTGTAGAAGTTTCCCTAATTTTAGTTGATATTCTATTTGCTCTTATTATTTTTATTATTATTATTATTATTTAAGCATCTTTAATGAGCTGTAACTGCATTGATCTTACTTAACAAATCGATATTATTTCAAAAATACTAATATTGTTATTGACTACTATTCTAGAATATTCTATGTATGTAAACATACATATATATTATTATTATTGTATCCTTTAGTTCCTAGAGGAACATAGGGCTTCAGCTGCGCACCTCCATTTCCTTCGGTTTTCTGACAACTTTTTCACCCCGCTCCAAGTCTGCCCACATGCTTTCATCTCCTCCTCGCATGACCTCCTCCAAGTCACCTTTGCACTGACGACCAACTCCCCACCCGCTTCCCTTCCGGGTTCCACTCGAGCGATGGCTTGTCTAGTGATGTCACTTGATGGTTTGTTTCTCAGAGTATGGCCAGCCAATCCATCTCCATTTCTTTCTGCCTATTTGTTGCACTATCGGTTCCTGATTGGTTCGCTCCCAGAGATCCCTGTTGCTGATCTTTTCTGGCCGGCCATCTGATCTTGAGTATTGAGCGAAGGCAGCTGTTAATGAAGGTCTGAAGTTTGTTGGATATGCTCTTTATGACTCGCCAAGTCTCTGATCCATATAGTAGCACTGACTTCACATTGGAGTTGAAAATCCGGATCTTATTTTTGATGCTGAGTGCTGTTGACCTCTACACAGATTTGAGAGTAATGAAAGCTTGTCTTGCTTTTCCGATTCTGGCTTTGATATCCTCGTCAGTTCCGCCTGTATTTGAGACGATGCTTCCCAGGTAGGTGAAGGAGGCTGTTTCTTTCAGGTTCTTCCCACTTATGCTGATTGTTGTCTGTTGTTGTTGTTGCTGTTGATGTTGGCTAGGAATCTCCATCACCTCTGTTTTATCTATGTTCACTTGAAGTCCTATCTTTGATGCTTCTTCTGCCAACTTGTTACTTTTCACTTGCATATCTTCCAGTTTGTGGGAAATCAGACATATATTATCGGCGAAATCCAGATCCTCCATATATATATATATATATATATATATATATATATATATATATATATATATATAATTGTAGAGCCAAAAGAGGAAATGATCGAGAAGGATATTCTTTGCTCAATTATTTGGGTTTTTTATACATGTCTGAATGAATATTTTTGCAATATGACAATAAATGAATTAATTATCTGAAAGAAATTTATAATCTTACTTGTGCTTTACTGGATGGAATTCTACAGAACAGAAATGTAACATTTAGAGCCTTATATATATCTAAACAGAAAAGATTACTTTGATAGTGTGAAAGTATAATACAAGTAATAGTTGTAGAATTATGACTTATCAAATTATGCATATGATTTTCAAACACTAGGTCACAAGTCTGAAGTATGCTTCATTTACAGGAAAATTCAGGCAATCAGTTAATATCACACAAGACATCATGTAATAGGAGTGACTGCTCATTACCAAGTAGATGAACTCGTCTATGTGATTTTTGCTTATCATTTACGTTTATTGGTTTGCCCAGCTGGGATGCTTGATTGTAATCAACTCATACATTTCACTGTACAGAAGTAATCAGTTTTAAATCCAACTAATAGATTTGGGATTAGAAGACCGAAATTTTCTATAGTTGACTAGGTATACTGTAACGACAGAAGACAAGGGTCAGACAACAGATCGCTTATTGAGAAAGTCAACAGGTATTTATAGATTTTTATTTACATTATCATCAGCGTTATTGTTAGCAGAGGAGCAGGGTCTTCTGATTGGTTGTTTTCTCGCTGAAGGCTATTCCGTCATTTCTCTTTTGCTGTTTCTTAGAAAGTTAAGCCATATATCTGCGAATCGTATTGGCGCATGTTAAGTCTACTGTGACTGGTTGGTGAGTTCCTCAAGGTTAAGCTTTGTTATTATTTTTTTCTCATGACCCCTATTCGGGATGTGAACACTGACGTAAATCGTTGTCTACAATTCTGGCTATGTACTCCATGAAATACTTATGTTATTCATTGTCTGAATCCAGAAAAAACCCACCCACCCCTTATCGAAATGAACTTTCGTTCCAAATGTTCAAGTAGCTAACTAGATTTGTTTAAATAATATCAATATAGACTGTATAATTTGCAAATTAATCATTTATATGATATGAATGGCTACATTGAGATCTATAAAAACCCATAAAGCATTTGATTCTTAACGCTTTTTGTTTAATTATCAAATAAAAAATAATAAATTAAATAAAATCACAGAAACTAACCTTCTTCAGCAAAAAGTTCGAAGACTATTGAAGTATAATGAAGAAGAGAGTAAGATAAAGAGCAATTAGAATACGAACATTTATTCCCCGTCATCATTCCATAACATTTTCATCTAACCATCTCCAGTAATTAGTACTAAGAATCTAGATTCCAGGTTCATTATAGTGTGATAAGTAAACTTGTTTTATCAGATAGCTGGAATTAGTCTGTAAGAATCCTTGGACCTATGTTTCATCGTTGTTGGCACTTGTCAACAAGGCATATCTGCAAACTTGAAGGAACTTATATCCCTTCTGGGGTTCAAACCCGCGTCACCCATTGCTGCACTCAGAGTATGTCACAGCTGAGCCATTCTAGCAGGTAATTAAGCTCCTGAAGGACTTATAGGATACTTTGATTGGACGTTACGTTGTAACCGGAGTCATATGTTTAGTCCTTCATTGCAGACTGAGTTCTATCAGTTAAGTTTACAAGGTGACGACCATACCTGGAGGCTCAGGTTGGGGGGATGACACGGGTTCGAATATCAGAAGGAATATGAATCCCCTCAAGATTGCAGTTACGCATACATAAGTCATGTTCTCGAGTGGGATCCGAATATGAAACAAAGAGTTGGGTATGACTGCTTCAAGGAATGAATTATAATACTGTCAACAATATCTTAAACGAGAGTAGAAATTTTCTAATTCAATTTTGATTTTCACGTTGATTGACTGAACAGAAAGGTTCATCCTCTGTTGATCTGTTGGCTCCTGATACGGACGCCACAACGATATCTGAAGATTTACTCGAAGTAATTAGGTGGATGATGATTAATAATGGAATCCAGGATGCTGATTTCGTCCCATTTGTGGCTCATCACTTGTACGCGCCTGCATTCCCCAGTGAGGGATAGTGTTCCTACAGAGGTGTCTGAAACAATAGGTACGGGATTCGAGTCTTTCTTTGTGGAAATACTATCAGTCACCGGGCAATACAGGTACATCCAGTGATCAGCTGCAAATAGGACCAAAACACATTCTAGATTCCACTGATAGTCAAGTGTTTTCTTCTGGTATGTTTATAAGATTTAAATCTCTCCTTTCAATCTCTATCAGATTTAAATAAAGCCAGAAATTCAATCATTTAACACAGGTAAGTTCCTTAAAAATGATCTTAGGTTAAATTATTACTTACAGTCATCACACATTCCTGTTATTATTGTTTTTATAGGGATAAATTATTATTAATTTCATGTGAATAAATGTTGATTAGTGCTTATATTATAAGGCAAAACCATTATTATTATTCCCTTGGTTTCCAAGTGAAACAAAGGGCTTCAATAACACATCACCAATTTCTTCTCTTTCCCCCTGCCCTCTTCAGCTGGGTCCACGATTGCCCATAATCTCCTCCATGTTACCCTAGAAATGACTACCCACTTGTCTCTTCCCATTGGGACTCCAGTCGACCGATGGCCTGCACTGAGCTCATTGTTATTGGACGATCTCCTCAGTGTATGCCCGATCCAACTTCATTTACTCCTACATATTTGTTGAGCGATTGGCTCTCGCCTTTTAGTTTGTCCCCAGCCAGAGTTTATTCTTGCTAATTCTTTCTGGCCAGTCGGCCAAATGATCTTCTTTATGGGGTCTGTGAGCTGGGAAGCTGTTCACGAAAGTCTGCAGTATCCTGCAGTGCAAGTTTCTGACCAGTATAGAAGGACTGACTACACATTTGTGTTGAAAATCTGAATCTTATTCTCTACGCTGGCTGAGTAAGTACGGAAGATTTCCAAACCGATGACAGGTTGATGAAGACTTTTCTTGTCTTTCTGATGCTGGCTTGCTGACTCTGATGTCTTCATGTGTTTCACTCACCTGTAGTTGAAACGATGCATCCTAGATAAGCGAAGTAGGCAACCTCTGTTAAACTTCTCCCGTTGATGGTAATTGGTGCTGGTTGTTGTTGATGGTGTTGCTGTTGGTGTTGGTCGGTTTTCTTTATCACTTCCATCTGATCTATGTTCACCTGCAATCCTGTCTTCGTTGCCTATCTCTTCAGCCACTTTGTTTGTTTTTGCCTACCTGCAAGTCTTCGTGTCTGTGTGGTACCAGACATAAACCATCCAGGCGTGAATTTCAGATCTTCTTGAGTTTTCTCAGCTGTGATCCAACGTATTCCTGTCTCCTCGCTCCCATGCACAGTCTGACGCATAATCCAAAACACCACAATTAAGAATATCATCGATGATGATATTATCTCAAATAAAACTTTATTATTTTTGATTGCTACTCCTGTTTTGCTCAACACATCACAAAAAGAAGGAAAATGCAAGAGCGACTGGAAGTACTCTGACGAATACACCTACAGTCTTTAGAATAGAAAAAAAAGTGATATAGTCAATCTGTGACAAAGAATTTGATGAATTTGGTGTTGATCCAAAGGCAACATGAAGGAAATCGTGTGAGGGGGGAGTAGGGGGAGATGAAAGCTTATGGGGAATTGTGGAACAGCTAAAAAAGAAAACAGAGGACATAGTGAAATGGAGATGTGCTTCTGACGCAGTATTAATAACAGTATTCATGGCACTGTTGTGTAATTAATCGGGTATACAATAAAAGTAGACATTTTTAGATTAAAACTCATTCAGTCTACATTCTTATTTTAATAGAGCTTAGTTATCATTTCTATGCCAGAGAACACTCTTTTTCTTCAAGCTACTGAATGAAATCAAAAAAAATTCATTTCAGTCCCATTATACTGTTAGGTTGACTTACTTTTCCAGATTGAACCTTTATAAATATAAACAAATTATATGATCAGTACTCAAGGGTTAGTTTGCAGGGATTTGATTTGATTTAATTACAGGATTTCATTATGAAATGATATCATGAATTCGAAGAAGCTGTAATTCATGGGGCATTGTATAAGGTCCCAGTGGTTGCTTAATGGTCTACGAGCTCGCTCGCTCGCTCGCATTGTAGCCAGAAAATCTTGGTTTAGAACGCCTGTGGCTGATGTTTGCGTACTGCTGAAAAGTCCCCGACTAGAAAAAAAAACAGCTATCCAGTACTCCCAGCTGGTTTTCCAATGATTCTCTAACTGAAGTCAACTCATAATGAAATCCTGTACCATGTAATTAATAGTTTATCCAATAATGTGAATGATTTGCTTTTTACAAGATTAAAAGAGAGAGTAACTACTTATATAAGTGTGTTGGTGGCACAGTGGTAGAATGCTTACCAACCACAGAGGTGTTTTAGGGTTCGATCACCAGACACAGACACACTCCTTTACCTCGCTAAACCAGTAATAAGAGTGATAAAGAAGGAGGGTTGGGCATGAGGCTAGCAATCCCATCCCGTAAAAATAAACATCACTGCTACTGACACTTCAAGCCTCTAGCTTGAAGCCGTATGTTCCATTGGGAACGTAAAGGAATAAAAATAAACTAGTAATGAGAATGTATCAGTTGGTCATTAGTAAAATACTCTCTGACCAAGCAGGTGGTCATGGGTTTCAGTCTCCGGTTGGTTAACTCCTTAAACCCACAGACAGCCGGTAGTGTTCTCAGTAAAGAAAGGAGATTGGGTGGGCGTAAAGCTAGCAACCCCAGCCAACCCACCCACCCCCCAAAAAAATAGACACAACTGCCACTGAAACTTCAAAGCTCAAGTCTCAAAAACAATGTCCCCCCCCTGGGAGCACAAAGGAGTAAATTATTAATATTTGGAAAAATTACATTTGTACAAATCTCAGTGACACTGAAATAAATAATTCCAAAGTTCTAATCAGCTGGAAAATACCTGAAATTACAATGGTTATAAATAATAAGATTTCATGCCTCAATGTTTGAAAGGTTATGGAGAAAATATTATAAAATGAACGCATTTAGAATATAAGTATTACAATTCTCAATATGATGAACTTTAACCTTCTTGAGTTGCCATGTTGACGTACAAGCTAAAACTGTTTATTAGATTTTTCTGTTTTCTGTCTTCTGTCACCACCTCAACCCCTCTCTTTTCACATTTTGATAGCATATAAATTGATGGTAACTTAAACTAAGAAGTGTAATACTTATATTCCGGATGCGTTCATCTTATGTTTTCTCGATTACCTTTCAGACACTGAAGTATGAAGTGTCATTACTTATAACCATTGTAATTTCAGGTAGTTCGCAGCAGCTGATGAGAACCTGTAAAATAGAATGATATCATTTAACACTGCAAATCTGGTCTTTCTCTCAAGGGAACCAAGTGTATGAAATAATTCCAAAGATTTATTCGGCAAACTGGTTTAAACCACCAAGAAGAAAACTATCAAAATCAAAATATCAGAAATGTTTCTCTTCATCATTTATATATGTATATCATTAAACTACGACTCGAGCACAACCCACGGTGGCGAATCAATCAGAAGTTCTACACCAGACTTGGCTGTGGCCGGATACTAGCCTGCTAGGCTACTAGCTTACTAGTTTTCTAGCCGGTCCCAAGCCTGGGAAAAGAGGGAGGGATGGGGCGTGGTGCTAGCAACTCCACCCCTGTAAAACAACCAAATCGCTACAGAAACTTCAACGAATAAATATATTAAAAATTCTAAAAACATAAGCAATAGCCTTACTTTTCGCTGGAATCGGGGAAGTGAAATGACGCAGGCTGGTGAAAGCCTTCGGGAAGCCAGTCAGCCGATGTGCCTTCTTTCGATGAAAGCAAAAGTAAGGATGGGTACCTGGAATGTTCGTACAATGTACGAAACTGGAAAGGCTGCCCAGATAGCCGCTGAAATGAGAAGGTATAGAATAGAAGTGTTGGGAATCTGCGAGAGCAGATGGAACGGAACTGGAAGGTGCCAACTACCTACTGGAGAGACAGTAATCTATTCCGGCCACCCAGAGGACAACCACGAGCACACCGAGGGAGTGGCCATCATGATGTCACCAACAGCAGCCAAAGCTCTCATGCAGTGGGAACCAATCTCCTCCAGGATAATGACAGCCAGGTTCAACTCAAAAGGAAGGAAAGTTACAGTCATTCAATGCTATGCGCCTACAAACGTCTCAGAACAAGAGAAGAAAAAGGATTTCTACAGACAACTACAAGCAATAATGGACAACGTCCCAAATGGCGATATCAAAATCCTGATGGGCGACATGAATGCGAAGCTGGGAGGAGACAACACAGGAAGAGAACTCACCATGGGTCGTGAGGCCCTCGGTGAAATGAACGACAATGGTGAACTCTTCTCAGACTTCTGCGCCTTCAATGATTTGGTGATTGGCGGTAGTGTGTTCAAACACAAGGATATACACAAGACGACATGGATTTCACCAGATGGAAACACCAAAAACCAAATAGACTTCATCTCAATTTCAAGAAAGTGGAGACGGAGCCTACTGGACACAAGGTCGAGGAGAGGAGCAGATGTGGGTTCAGACCACTATCTAGTACAAGGGACTTTCAAGGTGAAACTAAAAGCCTCGAGGATAGCTGGGGATAGGCCACAATGCAAGTTCAACACTCAAACTGAAGGACACAACCACAAAAGACACCTTCACTGCAACTGTCAGAGCAAAGCAGGAAACACTACGCGACATCACTGAAGAATCATGCGTGGAAGAACATTGGAAGTCTCTGAAGGCGATTCTCAACGAAACGTGTTCAACGGTTTTAGGAAGAAAGAAGAGACAAGACAAGGAATGGCTCTCAACGGACACTTGGAAATTAATAGAAGAGAGGAGAATGGTGAAAGAGAAAATGATTCAATGCAAGGACGGACAGGAGAAGGAGACGCTGAGCTCAACTTACACAGCACTGGACAAAGAAGTGAAGAAGAGTGCTAGGAAGGACAAAAGACGATTCTACGACAATCTGGCCACTGAAGCTGAGAAGGCAGCAGGCAAAAGGGACCTGAGGACACTATATCAGATAACCAAATCTCTATCCGGGAAGAGATGAACACAAGCGAAACCTATAAAAGACAGCCAAGGGAACCCAATTACCAAGGAAGAAAACAGATTAAACAATGGGCGGATCACTTCAAAGGACTCTTGAACCGACCATCACCTGCAACCCGTCCAGAAATACCAACAACAGCGCGCACACAACTGCAAGTTGACACCAATCCTCCAACGAAAGCTGAAGTCTTGAATGCAATCAAGCTTCTGAAAGCTGGAAAAGCAGCCGGACCAGATGGAATACCCCCTGAAGCACTGAAAGCGGACCCAGAGACTACAGCAGACATGCTGACTCCATTATTGCAAAAGGTCTGGAAGGAGGGAAAGGTGCCTACTGACTGGAGGAAAGGTTACCTCGTGAAACTACCAAAGAAGGGCGACTTACGCCCACTCTGCAAGAACTGGCGAGGAATCATGCTCCTGTCGACGCCAAGTAAAATCCTGAGTCGCATCATCCTGGAGAGAATAAAGGACGCACTGGAGACAGAACTCCGACCAGAACAAGCTGGATTCAGGAAAGGCAAATCATGTTCTGACCAAATTGCAACTCTACGTCATCATCATCACAGAACAAAGCATGGAATGGCAATCAAACCTCTACCTCAACTTTATAGACTTTGAGAAGGCCTTCGACAGCTGTTGAACGTGAAGTAATTTGGAAACTACTCGAGTACTACGGCGTACCCCAAATATTCATCAACCTTATTCAACAGCTGTACGACAACGGCACATGTCAAGTGATCCACAACGGAAAACTCAGCGAGGCGTTTGGAGTAAACACAGGAGTCAGACAAGGGTGCTTATTATCACCAATGATATTCCTAATTGTGGTGGACTGGATTATGCGTCAGACAGTGAGTGGGAAACGAGAAGACAGGAATATACCGGACCAACGTGAAGAACCTAGAAGACCTGGATTTCGCGTGGATGATTTATGTTTGATGTCACACAAAATCGAAGACTTACAAGCGAAAACCGACCGACAAACTGGTCGAAGAAGCAGCCGGTGAAGACAGGACTCCAGGTGAACATAGACAAGACGGAGGTTATGAAAATAAACAGCCACCACCAAGAACAACAACAGCAACATCCAGCGTCAATCACCATCAACGGGAGGGATTTGAAAGAGGTTAGTCACTTCATTCACTCACGGATCTAGGAAGCATTGTCTCAACTACAGGATGTCGGAACGGACGAGGATGTCAAATCGAGAGAGAATCGGGAAGGCGAGAAACACATTCACCAACCTGAAATCAATCTGGAAATCTTCGTCACTCAGCATCAACAACAAAATTCAGTCGGATCTTCAATACAAACGCGTCAAGTCAGTCAGTTCTTCTATACGGATCAGAAACTTGACGGGCGGGTCGCAAATAATATTTCCAACAGCCTGTTGCAGACCTTAATCAACAACAACTGTCTTCACTGGCTCTATACTGAAGATCAGATGGCCGGGCCGGAAAGAATCACCAACAAGGAATTATGGGAACAAACAAAGCAAGAACCAATCGCCCAACAAATATCCAGGAGAAAGTGGAAATGGATCGGACACTCGCTGAGGAGACCTCTGGGTGACATCACACGTCAAGCCCTCGAGTGGAACCCGAAAGAGAAGCGGCAAGTGGGTCGTCACTGTGAGGGTGACAAGGAGGAGAGGAGTTGAAAGAATATGGACTAACATGGATGCAGTTGAAAAGTACAGCAGAAGACAGAAGCAAATGGAGACGTGCAGTTGAAGCCCTATGTTCCACTAGGAACCCAAGGGAGAAATAATAATAATAAATCATTTATATAAATTTGTTGTTTTAAGTACGATTATTTCACTGAAGTTTGAAGTGGTTTGCAAAATGAAACGCTAAAATTACTTGTTTTACTTTCACTGAGATTTATACAAATATAATCTCTATGTATGTCTGTTCTTCACTCGACACCCGATTTTTGTGGATGTATTCTACCAGACATTGATCACAACTCGTATAAATGCTAATTACTATTCATCTAGCCAAGAAACTCAAAGATCTATAGGGAAAACCAGCAGTTTGACAAAGGAGGCAGGAAGAGAAGACGGAACATCAGGTGAACATGGGATAGACAGAGATGATACAGCACCTAACCAACAATAACAACCGTTACTCATCATAAAAACGAGTAAAAAATGATTGAGTCTCCTTTTTCACTTGTCTCACCTAGGTAGCATAGTTTTAACTGCTGACGAAAATGAGAACTTCATAGGCAGGTACGATCATTAAACTAAGATATCCCCACTAAGCATAAACTAAGAGATTCCCATTTCCAACGCCAATGACAGGTTGGTGCTTCTATATATAAGTTCACAGACTTTGCGTGTCGCCAAAATCCTTTCAAACTGGCTACTACAGACTTTTGTCATAAGCTGTCTTCCCTGAATACTGATGATCAGATGACCAGAAAGGATAATCAGCAAGGAGTTCTGTCAACGAACCAACCAACGAATATGCAGACAGGAATAGAGATTTCTTGGTACACGCTGAGAAGACCATTGAGTGACATCATATGCCAAGCCCTCGCGTGGAACTCGAATCAGAAGCAGTGAGTTAGGCGTGTGAGAATGAAATGAAAGAGTATGCGGCAGCTAAAAACGACTTCACAGAAGAAGAGGAGAAATAGAGATGCGCTGCCGAGACTCTATTTCCATAGGGAGCATAAGAGAATAAAAGTAATAATAATGGAAAGAAATCTATGTGAATGCCTTGATATAAATACGAGCAATCCGTTTTGCTCGACATGTCATTAGTAAAAAATAACAATACTCTGTCACACTGTGTATTATACTAAACTAAATTACTCCACTTTTTTATTCCTTTACGTTCTCAGTGGAACATGGGGCTTCAAACTGAAGGCTTTTAGTTTCTTTAGCAGTGGTGTTTATTTTTTACAGGATAGGGTTGCTAGTCTCATGCCTAACTTTCCCTCCTTACCAGTCTTATTACTGGCTTAGTGAAGTAAAGGAGTGCGTCTTTGGCCGGGGATCGAACCCGAGACCACCTCCATGGTTGGCGAGCACTCTACCACTGTGCAACCGACTCACAGCACTATAGAAAGGTATTTCTACTCTTCTGAAACATAATACACTATGATACAGTTTATTCTAAAGAAACTTGCCTAGTTTGGATTTGTATTCTTCCACAGCCTACGAATTCAACTTGTAGAGAAACGAGATTTCTGATGGAAAAATCCTGTCTGATATACATTCAGTGTTTTTCAGCATAACCATTCGAGAGAGTTATATTCTCAAGGAGATTGAAAAACCCGGATTGCTTGCCTGTGTCACGTCTTGATCATTTTCAAATAAAATTTTCTCTGTACGCTTTAAAAATTCTCAGATTATCAATCAAATCAAGTATTAACTGTATAAATTAGATAAATTTTCTCTGACATTTCAGGATTTTATTTACCAGAGGCAGAGTAGAAAAGTTATTTACAATGGATAAATCAAAAAGCAAAACAAAACAAAAAACTGTACTCACGATGATCACCCTTCTCCGGTTGTATCTCTTTTGAACGATCATCATGACCTTTTGATTTATTTTAAAATAATAATAGTCAAAGAAGATAACGTGTAAATGAATACATTTCTTATTCATTGAAAAGTTCAAATTAAACTGCAAAAGTGATGAAAATGTATGAATAGCCTTTAATTAATAAAATTTAAAAAAAATAATAAACAAAACCTGACTGTTGAACTTCTCCATGATATGGATTTTTAATGATGACCACACTGGAATAAACGGATGTGCGGTGGAGTGTTAGTTAAACACTTCTGAAAAGTCTTAAATGGGGACAAAGATCTTTGTATACCTTCATCGTATAGGAAACCTGGTATTCAGATTAATGGGGAATCGGTAGGGATGATATTGTGGATAAAGGAACAGAATAACTAGAGATATGTTCTGATTTTATCACAGTGGAAACGTGGTGAGAGCTGTCTGCTAGCCAAAAATTGGTAGACACCAATTTACATCAACTTTTACGTCCCAAATCTCGGTCATGAGAAAAGAAAGAGAACAAAAACTAATTCAACAACCAATCACAGCAGACCTGGCGTGGGCGGATACGATTCGCAGACATATGGTCTGACCTTCAAAGAAACGGCCACAAAGAGATGACAGAATAAACTTCAGCAGGAAAACAACCAATCAGAAAACGCTTTTTCTCTGCTAACAATAACGAATAATAATGTACATAAAAATCTATAAATGTCTGTTGATTTTCTCAATAAAAGTTCTGTTGCCTGTCCCTTGTCTTCTGTCGTTACACTGCAGTCACCAGGACAAAAACCGCAAACAAACCGAGGGAATGGCTGTCATGATGTCACCAACAGTATTTAACTTTCATATTTACAGGGGAGCCAATCTCCTATATGATAATAACATCAAGATTCAACTCAAAATGTTGGACAGTTATAGTTATCCAATGCTATACTCCTAGACACAATACAGAACATGAAAAGAACGACTTCTACAGAAAGGTGTTAACACCATTGGGAAGGACCCCAAGTGGAGACATCCAAATCCTAATGGATAATATGAATTCTAAACAAAGAAGATAACTCATCATCAGTCGAGAAGCTCTCAGGGAAATGAATGAAAATGGGAAAACTCTTTATGAATTTCTGTACTTTCAGTGATTTAGTATTTGGAGGCAGCGTGTAGAAGCACAAGGACATCTGGCAAATCTCACGAGATGGACACACCAAAAATCAGAAAGACTTCATATCAAACTCAAAAAAGTGGAAACACAACCTGTTGTATACGAAATCAAGAAGAGAAGCACATACGGCTCCAGACCACTGTCTAGTGCAAGGAATCGTTCAAGGTCGAGTTGAAAGTCATTAAAGAAGCCTGAGAGAGACCACAATTCATATTCACCACTTGCAAACTGAGGACAAAACTACAAAGAACACATTCGTTTAATCATCCATCACCAAATGGATGGAGACATTATGCAGCATCTCTGAGGAAAGCTTCGTGGAATAACACTGGAACTCCTCGAAAGTAGTGCTTACAGAATCCTGTAAAGACGTTTTAGGAAAAAAGAATATGCAAGGTAAGAAATGGCTCTCTGTGGACAGTTGGGTGTTGATAGACGAGGTGGTGATGGTGATACAGAAGATGAATCTGTGCAAACAAGGATGACGAAAGAAGAAGCCAAGTTCAGTCTGCAGCACAATAAATAAAGAGGTGAAGAAGAGTACAAGGGAAGGCAAAATACAAACGAATTATTCGCAGCTGAAACAGAATTGGTTGCAAGTAAGAAGGACCTCAGATCATTTCAGTAAGCAACTAGGTTTCTATCAGTTAAGAAGTCACCACAAATGAAGTTATTGAGAAATAGTGAAGGGGACCTAATTATCAAGGAGGAGAAACAAAGGACTCTCGAACCGACCACCACCTACAACTCGTCCGGAAATACTAACAACAACGGGCACAGGACTGCCGGTGAACTTCAGTCCTCCTACAGGAGAAAAAGTCTGGAATGGCATAAGACTACTAAAAAACAGAAGGCAGCTGGACGAAAGGAAATTCCCTAAGAAGTACCGAAAACGAATCCAAAAATTTCAGCCAATATGCTCACGCCACTTTTGCAGACTTTTTGGAAGGTAGGAAAGGCACCTACCGATCTCAAGAACAGTGACTTAGGCCTTTGAAAAAACTAGTGTAACAACAGAAGACAAGGGCCAGGCAACAGATCGTTTTATTATGAAAATCGACACGTATTCATACATATTTCAACTACATTATTATAGACAAGCGCAGTCATCTGATTGGTTGTTTAGGTAGACAAACGCAGGCTTCTGATTGGTTGTTTCGGGATTCCTTGACAAATCGAGTTCTCTATCTGCGAATCACATTTTGCCACGTTAACTTTGCTGTGATTGGTCGTTGACTCAGTCTTGTTCATATTTTCTCACGGCCCATATTAGTGACCTAGACCTTAACGTAGATTAGTGCCAACCAATCGGCTAGCAGCCTGCTCTCACCACACTCGTCCCCCCGTCAAATACGTGCGACTGAAGTCGGCTTGATCTACTTGGTGCAGGCGTCATCGTTGGCTTGTCTCGCTGTATCCATTTCTGGAGCTCGCTGACGTTCACGCGCCTCTCATTGTTCGCCATTTCGACTGTGTCTGCGTAACCCCATCTCGAAGTGACCATATATGGTCCTTCCCACTTTGGAAACTGTTTGCCTGACCCTGTCGAACATTCGTCCATACTTCGGCCGACACCTTCATATGCTGCTTTCGCCCGACCTCCCAGCAGCGTCTCAAGTAGCAGCTCCATCGCTGGCAGATCTTGAACGCCACTCAACTGCGCAGAAGCCTTGAAGTCCTGCCCGAAGATCCATATGTCTCCATCAAAAACTGCAGGGTATAGGCTTTTCATTTGTCGGTAGGCAGCGACACCAAATGTAACAACAGAAGACAAGGGCCAGGCAACAGATCGTTTTATTATGAAAATCAACACGTATTTATACATCTTTCAACTACATTATTATAGACAAGCGCAGTCATCTGATTGGTTGTTTAGGTAGACAAACGCAGGCTTCTGATTGGTTGTTTCGGGATTCCTTGACAAATCGAGTTCTCTATCTGCGAATCACATTTTGCCACGTTAACTTTGCTGTGATTGGTTGTTGACTCAGTCTTGTTCATATTTTCTAACGGCCCATATTAGCGACCTAGACCTTAACGTAGATTAGTGCCAACCAATCGGCTAGCAGCCTGCTCTCACCACACTAGCATTGGGTGACATTTCTGTCCACACCAGGCTAGTTATCATCATCGACCTCGAAAAGGCCTTTAACAGAATTAACCGTGAGGTAATCTTGCAAACGCTTAAACACTACAAGAAGCTCCAAAACTGTATTAACCTCATTCAACAGCCATATGATTATGCCACATGAGAAAATGATTCACAATGGGAATGTCAACGAGGCATTAGAAGTGAAGACAGGAATACAAGAAGACTGCTCACTATCACCAATGATTTTCCCCACTGTAGTGGACTGGATCATGAAGCAGACTATGAAGGAGCAAGAATACAAGGAAACGTAAAACCGACGAGAAGACACTGGAATCTCTGGATGCAAACTCGAAGAACCGAGATAAAAAACTACTGTGTTGGTAGGAGAAGCTAAAACCGAGAAGGGGTCTCTGAATAAAAATGGAGAAAACAAAGGTGATGAAGCTACCTAATCAAGGACAACAACAAGCACACTTATCACCAACGATGAGAGAAATCTGAAGGAAGTTGTGACTTTCACCTCGCAACTAGTCGGATATCTATAAATGCATGCGTCAAAGATAAGGATTTCAATGGTGGAGTCCGGAAAAGAAGACAGGCTTAAGTCACTCCGAGATCGACGTGGAAATCTACACAGCTTAGAGAAAAATAACTTGATTTTAAATGTGAACGAACTTTTTTCCCCTAACCGACATATAATTTTTAATATGAAAATTATGCTGATATATTTCATTACCTTTAAATGTTATTCACAAAAGGATAAAATCGAAAATGAATTTGAACAGGGAATAGTGACCATCAGAAACATTCAAGCTAACTCGTCTATTCCTTTAGGTCCTCCCATCGAGCCTGCTGGATGCTGTTGCTGACCCTTTCCTAGAACAATACGTTTAATCGAATTAAAAATGTGCACAACCTGATTCTTTTTACGCACACACACACACATCCACTTAAATGTCACAGACAGTTAGATGTGATCTCAAATGACCTTAAATCTCGCCCAGTTCACCATTTCTCCAATTTACCATCCCATTCAAAGCCCGGGAATAGACCGAATGTTAATCATGATACCAATGATGCTACTCTGGAAAACGAATCCAATTGCTTCAGAAACTTCGAAGCACCAAAGAATATAAAAATTAAACTTATTGCCCGCCAGAATCAGATAGAAAGAAATGTTGCCTCGTCAAACCATCACAGAAAGGTGACTTGAGATTTCTCAACATCTAGCACAGATTCATTCTCCTGTTCACACCAAGTAAAATATTCAGTCTTTCTGAAGGCGAAACTCCTTTCGGAGTAAACTTGATTTAAGAAAAGCAAATCATGCGATGTTTAAATTACAACGCATAGAATGGCAGTCAGTTCTTCACGACATCTTTGGAAATGCCTTCTACAGTGGTCACCACAAAGTAATTTGACGCTTGTTTCTACGCCATGGAGTGTCTGTCCTAAAACCTTATTCAACAGCTATATGACGACGATGGATATCAAGTAATTCACAACGGAAAGATCACTGAAGGCTTTAAAGTGAACACAGGTGTAGAACTAAGCCTCTGACTATCATAGATGAAATTCCTGATTGTGGTGGACTCACCCATGCGACAAAAAGCTGGCTGTGAGGAAACAAATGATATGGTGGACCAACGGAGATACTGCAGAAGATCTGAACTTCCCGACTTATTTTTGTCTAGTGTCACGCAAACTTCAAGAACTACGGGCGAAAACCAACAATTTGGCAAAAGAAAGAGACTGTGATGACAAAACTTCAGGTTGACACAGATGACAGAGGTGGTGAAGATACCTATCCGACAACAACAAGTACGCATCCACCATCAAAGGGAAAATTTCGATGGAAATCACTTCTTTCACCTATTTCGGTATCAACATTTCAACTACACGTGACGCAGATGAGGATGTCAACTTCAAGGTCAGAAAATCGACACTGGGATTCATTACTCTGAAATTATTACGAAAATCTACTACAAGCAGCTTAAGGAGCAACATCTAAATTTTAAATGTCTGTTTGTCTGTTTTCGACATAGAACTTTGCACCGATATGCAGCAGTTCAAGTAGTCCCACTCCCTCCATGTAGAACACAGAAGCAAGAGAAGAAAGTAGAAAAAAATGAATAATTGAGACAGTAAACAGAGGTGTGAGACAAAGGAAGAGTAATAACGAAGAACAAAACAGTTTCATTGGAAATCAGAAGTCACAGGGAGTGGATGCATCTGCGCCAACCACTGAGAACGATCACTGTGAGACATATGATCAACTGTCTCCAGCCACTGGGTTTTACCGTCCCGAGGACCCCAACCAGGAAGTCCACACCTTCCTACGTGGCCGGCTTAAACTAACTTTTGTGGATTTCATTGACTGATGAGGCCATTTTTTGGTTTGACCACCGCTAGCTCTTTTCCAGCCTGACCCTACGTCAGCTAATTTTAAATGTGATCCAATATTACTTTTTTTATATAGCTTACAACTTTACCTGTTGAAATTATCCAGCTACTTTTAGTTATATATTAATCAAATTTACACAAGTAAAGAGTTGAAAATGAAATTAAACAATGTAAAAACGGACATTAGAAATACTGAATCTAGCTCACCTTTTCCATCAGGTCCTTCCATAGGTCCTCCTGGATGGTGTTGCTGATCCTTTTCTGGAACTATAAATTTAATTCAAATGAAAATATGTATCAGTTGACTCCTTCTACACGCACACACGCATACACACACATTTGCTTGAATGTTATAAACAGTTAGATATGAAGTAGAATCAACTGAACCTTCACTCTAACTGTTGGCATCAAAGTGCAGCATATCAGCGTGCTGCACTTCATAGAAGTACATAATGGTAGGATAAAAAAATGCACTGGAAATATAATGCCAATCACTCTTGGTAACTTCAAATTTACGTATAATTTCATCATCCTGATATACTGACTAACTTTTATTTCCCAGTCAATGAGTTCTGTTAGAAAGCAGGAGTCAAATATTCTTTCTTTATTGTTCACCAATAAATAATTCTCCAAATCGCCACTGTTGTTGCATGCTGATCAGCCTGGCTCAATAAATAACATCTGAGTCTCTTATAAAGCAGTGCTATTTGCGGCTCATTAGCTTAGTGAGCAAAACGCTTTGACGCTTTTTAGAAGTTGATTAGTGACTTTAAGGTTTCTCTCCTGGAAACTTTACTGATATTTAGAATTCAGGTAGTTCCAACTGACACCTCTTAAACAGGTCGAAAATGTCTATCTGTATTCTAATGCTAAACACAACTTAACAAACATACTTCTTTTTGTTTGATTCATCGAAGATGACAAAACAGCTGTCCAGTGATTCCTGGTTTTCTCCTATTCTCTAACCGAAGTCAATTCGTCATGAAACTTGTAACACCCCTGCCTGTTGTATGTTAGTCTGATTGTTTTCCGCTTTACAGAGGTCAATGTTTATATTTATTTAAGAAAACCAATTCGTCCTTGATAAATTTCACGTTTGATTACCAGTTGAATTCAGTTACAGAAATACTGGAAAGCCAGGTAGTACTGGACAGCTGTTTCGTCTTTCTGAGGGCTCTCTTCAATAGTGCCCACTCCTTGGAGTTCGAACTTATTTAACACAGCCCACTGTAATACAGTTTTATATATTGAGAGTTATTTAAAGACATATTCAAAGCATTAGTAAAAAATAATACCTCAGTGATATAAGAATAGAATGTGTGCTCTGTGATAGAGCATAATTCCATTGTCAGTAAAATTTATTTTGATAAAGTCCTACAGTGTTATATATTATTCCTAATACATTAAGAATCCCACGTAGGATTCTTAATAAATCATGAATTGGGGTGGTGGTATTTAAACCTACAAACTCATTCAGATAGGAAAAGCTCTGTAGGTTAAAGGACACTGTCGGTTGAACCAATTAGACAAAATAATATAATTTACAAAATACCCTGCAATGACTGCGAGTCAGGTCAACTACATAGGTCAAACTGGTAGACGGGGGTTAGTAAGATTGTCGGAACATAAGAATTTAGGTAAGGTAAGGATGACTGACCTCAAGAAGATAAGTAATTCAGAGAAAAGCTCAGCATTTGCACTGCATGCACTAACACACAATCATGGTGGGAGAGGGTTTAAATTCCATAGGTAGGTGGAGACAGAGAGAGATGTTGATTACTAAATCCTTGTTCATCGAGTCTACACCCAACACATGCAATGAGAATGACTCATCACTCGTACCGGGAATATGGAAAATACTATTACCAATCATGTCAAGAGATGGAAAATAATGGAATTATATAAACGAAGTTAGAACGTTGTGTAGGTAGCTCGATATGGTTGTGAGCAATAAATTGTGCTCCAAACATAGTTATCAGTAAATATGACTGTATCACACTGTGAGACATTATCGTAATAAATTTTACCCACAATGGAATAATACCACTGTCAATGTTGGTGAACATTGAATGGTTTGTCTATTCGAACTGGTCTCCATTTGGCGACAGACAAGAAGGCTGTCATTGTGTAATTGTGTACTGGTTGGCAGAAGATTGAAGGAATACGATTAGAAACTTTAGCACTGATTAACCACTGTAAATATGTTTTGTTATCGCTTGAAGAATAAATAATCGTGTTGCCCAACCGTTTTCTGTTGTTCCTCGTCGGTTACAGTGTATAGTGTTCTACGTATTAAGCTTAATCTTCTGAAACCAGTGATAACTCCAGGATCTCAGTGATCTAAATATTTGACAATCATATTATGTGATGAATACATATCACCTTTCCAAAGAAGTGATATTGAGAAACACTGAACTAAGATTACATCTCATGCATTATGAGTTAACTATCGATGACTGAAAGCAAACAAAATTAAAGTTATAACTATACACCTACTTATAATATAATGGTGTTCTCCGTGTGGTTCCTGTATTGTATGATTTCCTGAGAAGCAAAATAACCTCAAATATCACATTTATGCAAAGTCGTTCTGCTTACACTAATGTGATGAGAGCTGTCTGCTAGCCATAATTGGTGGAGAGCAATGCACGTCAATGTTTACGTCCCAAATCTTGGTCACAAGAGAAAAAAGGACCAAGACTAACTCAACAACCAATCACAGCAGACTTTGCGTGGGCGGATACAATTCGCAGACATATGGTCTGACCTTCAAAGAAACGGCCACAAAGAGATGACAGAATAACATTCAGCAAGAAAACAACCAATCAGAAGACGCTGTTTCTCTGCTAATAATAAAGAAGAAGAATGTACATAAAAATATATAAATATGTCTTGATTTTCTCAATAAACGATCTGTTGTCAGACCCTTGTCTTCTGTCGTTATACTGAAACAAATTTTTAGACAAAATGATGAATTATTTTTCTGTCAGCTCCCTAAATTTATGTTACAATCAGGAATCGTATCGATGCAGTATACACTCGCTTAACACAGCCTGATATCAAAGCTGTTTAAAAAAAGTTTGGTTGACATTAGCAGTTTAAATCACTGCATACTATACTGTTAAATGATTTCTGATATCTGACTCTTTTACCTTTATACTCACCTGTAATATTATGAACTACAACATGTGGTTCTGATGTTGAGTTAGCAGCTGAAAGAAGTTATAAAAGAAGATGGAGATACTAACTATATCTATAAAGTGTTTTTCTGTACACACTACTGATTTAAAACTTATTGAACATATCGAATCGATCAGTCTAAGTTGGTAGATGGGCTTCATGAAATGATGTCCTCACACTGTCCTACTTCCAGTTGGATGTTAATTAAGTGCAGTTCACAAGAGACTTATTACTTATTAAAGAATAGACACCATAGTCGAAAGACCCTGAACCATGGAATCAGATTGCTCATCACTACGAATAGGTGCTTTTCATGATCTTTGTTTCGACTTAATCTTGATTTGAGGTTAAGGTTAGGGTGAAACTTGCATTGAAGATTACCAAAGTGTGCATTTTTCGTCCTGAACAATATTATTGGGTGGTTTAAGGTCATTTGACTGTGGCGTCTGCTCTTTACTGTTGCCTAATTAGCTTATAACTGAAGAAACTAATCAGTTGACTGTAGTCACATTTCAGGAACTAATGTAGTTCCCACTGAAACTCGAACCTGATCACGAAAATATCTGAATCCCAGTGAAGGAGTATTGCTTACTCAGATGCGGGTACAATCATCTTTTTATTCCTTCACGTTCCCAGTGGAACATAGGGCTTCAAACTAGAAGCTGCAAGTTTCTGAAGCAGTGATATTTATTTTTACGGGATGGGGTTGCTAGCCTCAAGCCCAACCTTTCCTCTTTACCAGCTTTATTACTGGCTCAGCGAGGTTTGGGAGTGCGTCGGCCGAGGATTGAACCCCGGAAAATGCGCATGGTCAGCGAGAGCCCTAACCGCTGTGCCACCGACGCACAGGTACAATCATCTGACTGGGATAAAAAACATGCAGTTCTCAATTTCCCTTCTGGCTATCAACAAATAAATAGCATATAAATGACTGCATACCTCCTAATGGAATAATGAAAGATGGGTGTAAATGACTGACAAAAATTTTCTCAATACTTTATCTAATCTATATAGAAAGAAGAGACTGAAGAAGAGAATTTCTATTCATTCATATTGCATACATAGCACGTCGGTAGAATGCTTGCCAACCACGAAGGTGGTCCCGAGCTCGATCCTCGACCAACGCAATCTTTTACCTCTCCATGCCAGTAGTAAGACTGGTAAAGAAGAAAAGTTGGGCAAGAGGCTGGCAAACGCCTCCCTTAATAATAAAAACCAATGCTACCGGAATTTCAAGGCTTTAGCTTAAAGCCATATGTTCAACGGGGAACGTTAAGGAAAAAAATATTTTATACATGAATAAGCCTTAATGAATTTGAGCAACACATAGATCAAGATAAAGTGGACCCATTTTACTCCGTTGGTATCTTATCAATTGTCTATAACTTAAATCACGAAAGCTGATAGGTTTATCACAAACTAAAACCACTTTATCACATTGGAAATAGAAGGTGGAATAATAATAATTAAGAATGATAAAAGGATTAATAGAGAATCAGAATGATAAAATGGTAACCTATAAGAGATATATGAGCACCATTCATTGGCATTCCAAGAGAAATGCAAGGAGTCAAACTTTTGGCTTTGAATTTTCAGCAGCGTATTTGTTAAATTTACGTGGTTGCCGCAGCAATATTCTTTCTTGGTATTTTTTCAAAACAGCTGATTTTTAAGAGTATGTCGTCAACGAATTAAATCGACAACTCGAACATGGCCATTTATGTACACATCCTTTGACCAATGAAATCAGAATCTGGTTCCTCGAGCTAAGTGAAGGCCATTTTCACAATCATTTTAGATAACTGTATATATCCATTCCCATCCCGCTCCTCTAAACCTGATTTCGCACATTATGCAAATTAATCACATTGTCAAATATTATTATAAACATATTCAGTGCGAAATCTATACGACAAATAATATTCGAAGGCTGAAATGTGTCTACATCAAAGCACTTTCCGTATAATAAATTCCATGCATTATGGCACAACATATAAAGATCATTCACCATGTTAATCTGAAGTGAATTTATAATATGTACTCACGACGGGCATGAGGTGCAGCTGGTTTCACCGGAGCATGAGTTGGTACGTCAGCTAAAATGTACAAAATTCAAGTATTCATCAGCATATTTTGAATTTAATCTTTCAAAATATTCATAAAAGTTATGAATTTTAAATGATATCAAATTGAGTTCAATGGAATGGTAGCGTAAAACAAATTAACAATATAGCACATATGCATAGATCAAACTTTTATATTCCAAGTGAAAAACACGACTTCAATTAAGAGCTTTCAAATTTCCGTCATTGACAGGGACTATACTACTGAACCATCGGAAAGCATTTCATGATATTTTATCAAGCATATTGACAACTATCAAGCTTCATGACTCATTGTCCAAGTGAAAATTGTTTAGACTATTGTGTTCTTCCTGTCTTCGATTCAGTCTCTTATCAGGTTGTTAGCTGGTGAAAGTGAGTGTGCTTGCGTTCCCACATCAGTGTCCACTTCTAAAGCATTATCAGTTATGACGACGAAACAAAAATCCACGTATATGAACATATTTCTTCCAAAAAAACGACATTATTATTGTTACTTATAATTATTCCCTTGGGTTCTGTGTGAAACATAGGGTTTCAACAACACATTTCCACTTTTTTATGTTGCCTTCACTACTCTTACTCTTCTGGGTCCACAATTGCCCACAATCTCTAATCCCCTGTACTCACAATCTCCTCCACGTCACCCTAGGAAGAACCACTCGTTGCTTCCCATTAGAATTGCACACGAGTGCAGGCGCGCGATGTCACTCCACGGACTCCTCAAGAAAATAAACTAAATAGAAATAACCTTTGAGAGAAACGTCAGAGTAGATACTTTCAGTATGGTATCCCAATCACAATAGCCTACTTAATCGAATGGTAGAATCATTTGAAAGTCCCTACATTTCAATTCATGTAAAAAATTCCGACGAAATCCACATTTCATCCGGTCGAAATTACAGTCCACCTGTCACAATTACCAGTGATTTTCAAATATTAATCTAAGAATTACATTTACAAAAGCAAATCTGGTGAGAAGTATAAAGTAATATTATCAATGATCGAAATCTTCCTACACCAATGCAGTGTCATTCTACTAAATTTCTACACAAAAAAATCAAAACATAAAAATCGATCAGCATATTAACATGATATATATATTTCACTTCTACCCACGGTGAACATGAGCTGGAGTTGGTTTCGCCGGAGCAGGAGTTGGTCCTGCAGCTGAAATATACACAATTCAAGTATTCATCATCATATTTTGAAGTCAACATTTGACATTATTCATGAACGTTATGAATTTCAAATGATATCAACTTGAGTTTAATGGAACGGTAGTGTAATACAAATTTTCGATATAGCACAAATGTATATATCACTCTTTTACACTTCAATTGACTTCAATTTCGAGCTGTGAATTTGCAGTTGCAATCAAGATGTTTCCTGCTGAATAGGGTTGACAAACATGCTCCCAACCTTCTCTGTCCTCCTAAGTGAAAACTTACTAGCAAGAGTTAGACAGTGAGATGATCGACAATCGAACATGATCCATGTCTGTTGATGGCGATGATTCTACCATTCAACCACTGGCATAGATCTCATGGAATTTTACCAGGAATATTGACATTTAGGGATCTTCATGACTTATTATTATTGTACAGGTGTCAACTATCTAGTCCGTTATTTCCTATCTGTCTTGGATTTAGTCTCGTATCAAGTTGTAAACCCTCAGTCTCTGCTAACGAATCACTAATGATGGATGAAACGATAATACTCGAAGATATATTGATGTATCAAGAAATTAACAATTCTATCAGAAAGGTTCTATTGCCCCTGTATTAAGCAAAATTCTACGCTGATAAAACTAATTCATGTACGGATGTTATGCGCTTGCAGAAACTGATTTTACATATGCCTGTGGAATATTCGCCATTATACTACTGAACACTGCTTTTCGTTTGTTACATATATATTTTACGTGGTTATACACATTTCGAGTTCGCCTCACACTTTCGAAATTCTATTTCGTTAACAATATATCTTTTCAAGATTTCACTCGTCCTTCTTAATACAACGTTGTTCGTCTTTCTGCGTGTAAAGCTTTGGCGCATAGTAAAACGTGAAAACGTGGTCGTACTATTGTGTCATAATTGGAATCATAAATAGTAAACCATAAGGTCTCAGCAGATTCCTTGCATACGCTTTCCCGACTAGAATTCCTCGTAAACTGACGGGGCGAAATCACTTGATAATCTGAAATTTTCTCCTTAATTGACTGTGGTGAGAGCAGGCTAGCCAAAATTGGTAGACAGCATTTTACGTCGATGGGTATGTCGCAAATATAGGTGGTGAGAAAATATGAACAAGACTGATTCAACAACCAATCACACCAGACTTGGCGTATAAATGATCTGACATTCAAGAAACAGTCACAAAGAGATGCAAAGTCAACTTTCTGCAAGAAACAACCAGTCAGAAGACTGTGTTTGTCTGCTTGAATCAGCTATAATAATGTAAATGAAATATATATATAAATACGTGTTGATTTCTTTAATAAACAATCTGTTGCCTGACTCTTGTCTTCTATTGTTACAGACTACTTCTGGTGAAATCCACCGTAGTCAGCATATGAACCGCTAGCCTCGTGGATGCATATCACAGAATCCAATCAGTTAAAAATACGTATATCCAGAAGCGGATTAAATCGTATTCTGATGAATATGTAACCAGCCGTGGTGTAAAAGTGAACTCCAAATAAGTTCATGTTATACTGAAACCTGCGTTGAATGTCATTGTTGTTTAGAAGGACGAAGAAGCTTCACAACTAAATCGACCAGCTCAGAGAACACAACTAATTCAAACTCAGTGACTCCGTAACCACACAATATTAAGTGTTATTATTAATATTTCCTTGGGTTCCAAGTGGAATATAAGTCACCACCAGCACACAGCTATTTCAAACGGTTCTCTGAAGTAATACTAATCCAAATTCACGATAACAAACCTAAATAATCATCCTGATATTGAGTGAGGTAGGGTTCCATTCATATTTTCACCTTAAAGTGGGTCAAAATTACAATTACTATGCCATCACCTTCGATAAAAGAAGAAAATTCCACAAACATATTCCCAAAGTGTATATATGTAAAAATATTCGCTGTGATGTATACAAGGAAACCAAGCTAAGCCTAAGACAATGCAGTATGCTTGTAATAATTGCTAGGAATTAACTCGATATAAATTTATAATATGAACTCACGTTGAACATGAGGTCCTGTTGGCATAGCTGGAGCAGGTGTTGGTGGTGCAGCTGAAATATTACATAGACACTTCAAGTATTTATCAATATAAGTTAAATATAACACTTCACATTGTTCATCATTGACATGAATTTCAATGGAAGTCAGTTTGAAGGCAGAAAAGGAAGAACTGTGGCAATATCACATTTGATTGTATGTAGGATTTCATCATGAGCTGACATCAGTTAGAGAACCACTGAAAAACTTGGAAGTACTGGACAGCTGTTTCGTCCTAGTTTCGGACTCTTCATCAGTACGCACCCACTGGGGTTCGAACCCAGGACTTTCTAGGTTCAAGGTGAGCTCCTAGACAACTGAGCCATTGAGCGTAGGTTTTCCAGTTGTTCTCTAAGTGATGTCAGCACAAGATTCAATCCTCCATAAAATCAAACGAAATTCACAACAAAACCAATACATGAAAATATCACATTTCTCCATGTAATGATATTCATTCTTTCTCATTTCATTATTTGCGTAATTACATATATATATATATATATATATATATATATATATGCTTTCTTTCCCAGTAAGATAAAACTTCCATGCCTGAGCTTCAAATTTTCACCGCCTGTGGATTTGTTTCTCAGGGGTTGGTAGGGGCTGATTCTTGCTCCTTCCATGTCTTCCTTATTCACTGTGAGCTAGGAAAGATTCACGTATGATTCTGTCGATCAGTGACCCAGGATCCCGTCCGTCATTGACAAGAAAAATACTACAGAAAGGCCGAAAAGCATTTCATGGCATTTTATCAGGAATATTGACGACTGTGACTTATTTTACAAGTGAAAATTGTATAGATTAATGTGTTCTTACTGTCTTGGATTCAGTATCTTATCAAGTTGTTAGCTTGTGAAAGTGAGTGTGCTCACGTTCTCACATCAGTGTCCACTTCTAAAGCATCATCAGATTTGACGATGAAACACAAGTCCACGTCTATGAACATATTTCTTTCTAGAAAACAACATTATTATTATGTATTATTATTCCATTTGAGTTATGTGTGGAACATACGCCGTCAACAACGCATTTCCAATTTGATATTTTCTCTGTTATCCTCTACTCTTCCGGAGCCACAATTGCTCATAATGTCAAATCTCTTTCTCTCCGTAACTCCTAAAAGTCAAACAAGAATTTAATAAATATGAGAGTAAAAATATCAAAATATATCAGTTAAATAAATCAACGAAATTTATCATTTGTACTCACGGTGGACATGAGCTGGAGTTGGTTTCGCCGGAGCAGGAGTTGGTCCTGCAGCTGAAATATACACAATACAAGCATTTATCATCACATGTTGAAGTTGACAATTCATAGTGTTCACAAACTGCACGGATTTCAAAGGAAATCAAATTCATATCATCAACAAAAACACTTCTGGTTATACTCTTCAATTGTGTAAATTTAAATTATTAATTTATACATATATATATATATATACATATGCCAAATATTTGTGTTCTGAGTTGACTGTAAGGTGTCAAGCTTTTCGTATCGTAGACTTGGTACCATATTAGTTCATTTTATGTGGTTAACAGATCAACCATCTGACCAATAAACTTTTCCGATCTTATTCCAGACCAGTTGATTTCCAGTAGTGCATTGTTTTCGTATCGAATCGCGAACTCTAGATTGATTGTCGAGCATCTGAGAACTGAACCGACGACAAATAAACCGACAAGCATAGATTAGGCAGTCTGTGATCCGTTATCACATAGCCGATTCCTTCTGCTTCATTCACCTATGTAAATCTCCCTCTACGATTGAAAATATAAATCTAATCCCTCATGCTAACTGAAACAGATTAACACAGTGATTTCAGATTATTACACATACGCATTCCTATTCAGATCTTCTGAATCTGGTTCTCCGTATTACACGGATTAATCACATTGTTAAATATCACTACAAATACATTCCTTTTAAGAGTTTGGCCACGGATTGATATCAGCTACAGAACCATTGGAAATCACGGAGTACTAGATGAAACAGTTGTCCAGTAATCCAGTGCTGGTTTTCAGTGCTTCTCTAACTGGTATCAATCAATCCGTTGTCAAACTCGTATAAACATATCTAATCCTTACAAACCAAACTCTTGAAACTACCATGTTAGTTTAGTTTGTTTCGATGATATGATTATGAGTGACAAACATGTGTTGAGAAAGTGATTCCTTTATGTTTACACCGAGTCAGTGTGTCACAATTCAATCGAACCCATAAAATATTCAAAAAAGGATCCTTCATCGTATTAACATGATATGAATTTATCACTTGTACTCACGGTGGACATGAGCTGGAGTGGGCTTCGCCGGAGCAGGAGTTGGTCCTCCAGCTGAAATATACACAATTCAAGTACTTAACATCATATATCAAAATCAACAATTCAAATCATACATAAACTATGTGGACGACATTCATGATATTAGATGGTTGGAGTAATCTGCACCAAGCCCAGGCTTCGATCTAGCAAGGTTTCGTGATAGTTGGAACTCGTCAGTCCTACAAGAGGTGAAACGCCAACCCGAATAGCTGCTCACTGGTAACGTCTCTGACTGACTGCACTACTCACTGGGTGACACGGGTTCGAATCTCACAGTGGTCGTGTGGGACATGACCTGTCCCTTCAAGCTGGTTGCAGTCACGCCTTAATGACTAGTGAGAGCTAACTAGCACGAAACATAGGTCCAAGGCTGACGACTCCAGTCTCGAGATTGTCTCCACCTACCTAATATCATCAGATCAATGTGCACTGTGATAACGAACAACCTATTAGCTTGATGGCATGGTGGCCACATTGCAAACCTGACTGACTGACTGACAGAATTCAGTCTGCCCTAACAAAGCTTAAAGGCGTTCTACGACTGAACTGTCAACGAACATTCAGACAAGCATAGATTAGAAAATCCACGCTCCGCTATCACATCACCATCACAATTTCACTCTACTATCAGCATTTATGTCTGAATCTCCCTCCCTCCACCACGGAAAATCCCAATCTACTTACCCCCTCATGCTCAGTGGAGCAAGCAGATTTACACACTCATTTCAGACTAACCTATCTACATGTTCCCTTTCTTTCCGATCCCATCTTCTCCATTTCACATTTTGTGCAATGTAATCACACACTCAAATATTCTTTTTATTATGATTATCCTTCTTATAATATGTGTACAGTGAAATACTCATCGGTTGAAATGCATTCAAACCAATGCAGTTTCCCTGCATTCCACTCATCCTTTATGTGTGTGTGTGTGATGATAGAAAGATAAAAATGCTTCACCACATGTGACAGATAATATGTACTCACGGTGAACATGAGCTGGAGTTGGTTTCGCCGGAGCAGCAGTTGGTGCACCAGCTGAGATATACACAATTCAAATAGTTTCATTGAATGTTTAACTGAATACTTGACATTATTCATTTACTTCATTAATTTAAAATATATCTACTGGGTTTCATTAGAATGATCTTACCTACATGATTCAATTTCATTTTGGGTGGTACAAGCATCTACAATCAATTATATTTATATTTCTTCTCTGTGTGTGTTTACACTGGAACACAGGTATTCAACCTTTGACCTTGAAATTTTAATAGAAACTTCTTCGATTCTACATAGTGGATATCCTAGCCTTAGGTCGAACCATTCTCTTCCGGCCTTATTACAGATCAGTTGATTTTTAAGATTTCGTCGTCTGAGATCCCAACCGAGAACTGGGCATGGAAGTTGTGCTCTGTAGACTCGAACCACATACGGACAAGTCGACAAGCCTCGATTTTTCAAATGTAGGAATTATTAAATAATCTAAACGATTCACGTCACTTGACAGCATCTAGTGAATGAAATTCACCCTCTATCTAGTCAAGAATTTAGTCAGTAGGCTGATAGATGCATATTAAAAATAACAGTCAGTTTAACACACATAAATACGGAAGAAATGCATATTGAAATTTGGTGAGAATTTAACCTGTTTTCATGCAAAAATAACCTGCATTATTTCTCATTCATATACTATTCATTATTAATATTATCGCCTTGGGTTCAGAGTGGAACATCAAGTTTCAGAAACACTTTGACATTTCACTCTGTACTGTGAAATCAGTGTGTAATATTTTCACCTCATTACAGGGTTCTTATGCCAATTTTTATCTCTAGAGATAGAAAATTCAAAACAAGTGATTCAAAGAAGAGTCTCATTTCGACGAATTCATCATCAATATGATTGATCATATATACACTTATTGTCCAAAAGTGTGCAATAACAATATCCCGAGTGATTATAAAGAGGTGAAAGTGGAAATATAACCAGCGAAATAATTCAACCTATGGTCCATACTAGTCACCTTATTTCTACAACCTCTTCCTTCCTTACTTCAAAGTTATCTACGAGGAAGAACGTAACTTCCTCAAATCATTACGTAACCGATTCATCTGTGCTACAGAGTCTTCGGCCATCAAAATAGAAAAGCCAGATCTTCGTATGCAGAAAACGTTTGTTTGTCACCTCTAACTCTCATGGTCTTAATCCGTCTCTGTTGAAGTATGAAATATCCCATTCATACTTTGATCCTATTCACTATTCGTTTTGCCTAATCAATTTGTATATCCCCCGCCCCTCGCCGCTTAAAATCAAGCTTGTCACCTTTGTTTGTTGTTTTGCGATTCAGTACAATTTTTTACAATGCTGTCTTGCCCTGATTATCACCTTGTTGCGTAATCCTTTAAATGCTTAGTAACAACATTATCTCTACATCGCCTAATTTGAGATTTACACAATTGCGGAAGTACTTAATACATAAGTGCGTAAAAAATTATTGTTTTTGTGTTTCCTGAAATTCCATTATATTATTATTAAAAACGACCGTAAAACCTGGTGGTTAACTCTTTGAAAAGAGAAATTTCGCTAAATCCCTCATTTTGATAACATATATATAAATATGAACATAAAGATCCGTTATTGTAAGTGTAGAAATTAGGCACTGTGGTGGATAGAAATACCATATTATACGAGTTTGACCACGGATTGATATCAGCTACAGAACCATTGGAAATCAAGGAGTACTAGATGAAACAGTTGTCCAGTAATCCAGTGCTGGTTTTCAGTGCTTCTCTAACTGGTATCAATCAATCCGTTGTCAAACTCGTATAAACATATCTAATCCTTACAAACCAAACTCTTGAAACTACCATGTTAGTTTAGTTTGTTTCGATGATATGATTATGAGTGACAAACATGTGTTGAGAAAGTGATTGGTTTATGTGTATAACGAGTGAGTGTCTTACTACGATTGAACTAACCAAATATTGAAACAAAGATCCTTCATCATATTAACATGATAAGAATTTATCACTTGTACTCACGGTGGACATGGGCTGGAGTCGGTTTCGCCGGAGCAGGAGTTGGTCCTGCAGCTGAAATATTATATAGACAGTTCAAGCGTTAATCAATTTAAGGTAAATTTAACAGTTCACACTGTTCACTATTGACATGGATTTCAAACGAATTCAGTTTGAAGGCAGAAGAGGAAGAATTGTGTAATGATACTCATTATTTCTGATTACATTATATGACGAAATTACACATATATATACACGCTGGCTTTCCTTCCAAGTGGAATAAACCTTTCCATGCCTGAGCTTCAAATTTTCACTGCCTGTGGCTTTGTTTCTCAGGGATTGGTAGGGGCTGATTCTTGCATCTTCCATCTCTTCCTTATTCACTGTGAGCTAGGAAAGATTTAGGTATGATTCTCCCGACAAGTGAGGCAGGATCCTCTCCTTCATTGACAAGGACTATAAAAGTGAACCGCCGAAAAGCATTTCATGGCATTTTATCAGGAATATTGACGACTGTGAAGTTTCATGACTTATTGCACAGGTGAAAGCCATACAAACTGTTGTGTTATTCCTGTCTTCGATTCAGTCTCTTATCAAGTTGTTAACTTGTGAAAGTGAGTGTGCTTATGTTCTCACATCAGTGTCCACTTCTAAAGCATCATTACGTTTGACGACGAAACAACAGTCCACGTCTACGAACATATTTCTTCCAAGAAAACAATATTATTATTATTATTATTTAATAGTATTATTCCATTCGGGATCTGTGTGGAACATATGGTTTCAACAACACATTTCCACTTTTTTCTGTTACCCTCACTACTCTTACTCTTCTGGGTCCACAGTTGCCCATAGTCTCTCATCTTCTATTTGCACGATCTCTTCCATATCACCCTGATCCTGTTGACTCACTCGTCACTTTCCATTGTGATTCCACTCGAGGAATGGCATGATACACGATATCATTCGATTCACTCCTCAAGAAAGCAAAATAATTATAAATAACTCTTGACTGAAAGGTCTCAGTAGATACGTTCACTATGCTATACCTACAACAAAAACCTTCTTAATAGAATGTTAAAATCACCTGAAAGTTCAAACATTTCACTTCATTTGAAATATTATGACCAGATCCAAATTTCATCTAGTCAACAATTCAGTCCACAATTCCCAATTAGGCATGATTTTCAATAATCAATTGCAAAATCTCATTTTACAAAAGTATACCCGGTAAGACATTTAAAAATATTAATCAGCCCGAAAGGTTTCCACAACAATGCACAAGAGATTAAAAATACCAAAATACTCCAAAATATTAATATGATATAAATTTGTCACTTGAACTCACGGTGTACATGAGCTGGAGTTGGTTTCGCCGGAGCAGGAGTTGGTCCTGCAGCTGAAATATAAACAATTCAAGTACTTAACATCATATATCAAAATCAACAATTCAAATCATACATAAACTATGTGGACGACATTCATGATATTAGATGGTTGGAGTAATCTGCACCAAGCCCAGGCTTCGATCTAGCAAGGTTTCGTGATAGTTGGAACTCGTCAGTCCTACAAGAGGTGAAACGCCAACCCGAATAGCTGCTCACTGGTAACGTCTCTGACTGACTGCACTACTCACTGGGTGACACGGGTTCGAATCTCACAGTGGTCGTGTGGGACATGACCTGTCCCTTCAAGCTGGTTGCAGTCACGCCTTAATGACTAGTGAGAGCTAACTAGCACGAAACATAGGTCCAAGGCTGACGACTCCAGTCTCGAGATTGTCTCCACCTACCTAATATCATCAGATCAATGTGCACTGTGATAACGAACAACCTATTAGATTGATGGCATGGTGGCCACATTGCAAAGCTGACTGACTGACAGACTGACAGACTGACTGACTGACTGACTGACAGACAGACAGACTGACTGACTGACTGACTGACTGACTGACTGACTGACTGACTGACTGGCTGACTGACTGACTGACTGACTGACTGACAGATTTCAGTCTGCCCTAACAAAGCTTAAAGGCGTTCTACGACTGAACTGTCAACGAACATTCAGACAAGCATAGATTAGAAAATCCACGCTCCGCTATCACATCACCATCACAATTTCACTCTACTATCAGCATTTATGTCTGAATCTCCCTCCCTCCACCACGGAAAATCCCAATCTACTTACCCCCTCATGCTCAGTGGAGCAAGCAGATTTACACACTCATTTCAGACTAACCTATCTACATGTTCCCTTTCTTTCCGATCCCATCTTCTCCATTTCACATTTTGTGCAATGTAATCACACACTCAAATATTCTTTTTATTATGATTATCCTTCTTATAATATGTGTACAGTGAAATACTCATCGGTTGAAATGCATTCAAACCAATGCAGTTTCCCTGCATTCCACTCATCCTTTATGTGTGTGTGTGTGATGATAGAAAGATAAAAATGCTTCACCACATGTGACAGATAATATGTACTCACGGTGAACATGAGCTGGAGTTGGTTTCGCCGGAGCAGCAGTTGGTGCACCAGCTGAGATATACACAATTCAAATAGTTTCATTGAATGTTTAACTGAATACTTGACATTATTCATTTACTTCATTAATTTAAAATATATCTACTGGGTTTCATTAGAATGATCTTACCTACATGATTCAATTTCATTTTGGGTGGTACAAGCATCTACAATCAATTATATTTATATTTCTTCTCTGTGTGTGTTTACACTGGAACACAGGTATTCAACCTTTGACCTTGAAATTTTAATAGAAACTTCTTCGATTCTACATAGTGGATATCCTAGCCTTAGGTCGAACCATTCTCTTCCGGCCTTATTACAGATCAGTTGATTTTTAAGATTTCGTCGTCTGAGATCCCAACCGAGAACTGGGCATGGAAGTTGTGCTCTGTAGACTCGAACCACATACGGACAAGTCGACAAGCCTCGATTTTTCAAATGTAGGAATTATTAAATAATCTAAACGATTCACGTCACTTGACAGCATCTAGTGAATGAAATTCACCCTCTATCTAGTCAAGAATTTAGTCAGTAGGCTGATAGATGCATATTAAAAATAACAGTCAGTTTAACACACATAAATACGGAAGAAATGCATATTGAAATTTGGTGAGAATTTAACCTGTTTTCATGCAAAAATAACCTGCATTATTTCTCATTCATATACTATTCATTATTAATATTATCGCCTTGGGTTCAGAGTGGAACATCAAGTTTCAGAAACACTTTGACATTTCACTCTGTACTGTGAAATCAGTGTGTAATATTTTCACCTCATTACAGGGTTCTTATGCCAATTTTTATCTCTAGAGATAGAAAATTCAAAACAAGTGATTCAAAGAAGAGTCTCATTTCGACGAATTCATCATCAATATGATTGATCATATATACACTTATTGTCCAAAAGTGTGCAATAACAATATCCCGAGTGATTATAAAGAGGTGAAAGTGGAAATATAACCAGCGAAATAATTCAACCTATGGTCCATACTAGTCACCTTATTTCTACAACCTCTTCCTTCCTTACTTCAAAGTTATCTACGAGGAAGAACGTAACTTCCTCAAATCATTACGTAACCGATTCATCTGTGCTACAGAGTCTTCGGCCATCAAAATAGAAAAGCCAGATCTTCGTATGCAGAAAACGTTTGTTTGTCACCTCTAACTCTCATGGTCTTAATCCGTCTCTGTTGAAGTATGAAATATCCCATTCATACTTTGATCCTATTCACTATTCGTTTTGCCTAATCAATTTGTATATCCCCCGCCCCTCGCCGCTTAAAATCAAGCTTGTCACCTTTGTTTGTTGTTTTGCGATTCAGTACAATTTTTTACAATGCTGTCTTGCCCTGATTATCACCTTGTTGCGTAATCCTTTAAATGCTTAGTAACAACATTATCTCTACATCGCCTAATTTGAGATTTACACAATTGCGGAAGTACTTAATACATAAGTGCGTAAAAAATTATTGTTTTTGTGTTTCCTGAAATTCCATTATATTATTATTAAAAACGACCGTAAAACCTGGTGGTTAACTCTTTGAAAAGAGAAATTTCGCTAAATCCCTCATTTTGATAACATATATATAAATATGAACATAAAGATCCGTTATTGTAAGTGTAGAAATTAGGCACTGTGGTGGATAGAAATACCATATTATACGAGTTTGACCACGGATTGATATCAGCTACAGAACCATTGGAAATCAAGGAGTACTAGATGAAACAGTTGTCCAGTAATCCAGTGCTGGTTTTCAGTGCTTCTCTAACTGGTATCAATCAATCCGTTGTCAAACTCGTATAAACATATCTAATCCTTACAAACCAAACTCTTGAAACTACCATGTTAGTTTAGTTTGTTTCGATGATATGATTATGAGTGACAAACATGTGTTGAGAAAGTGATTGGTTTATGTGTATAACGAGTGAGTGTCTTACTACGATTGAACTAACCAAATATTGAAACAAAGATCCTTCATCATATTAACATGATAAGAATTTATCACTTGTACTCACGGTGGACATGGGCTGGAGTCGGTTTCGCCGGAGCAGGAGTTGGTCCTGCAGCTGAAATATTATATAGACAGTTCAAGCGTTAATCAATTTAAGGTAAATTTAACAGTTCACACTGTTCACTATTGACACGGATTTCAAACGAATTCAGTTTGAAGGCAGAAGAGGAAGAATTGTGTAATGATACTCATTATTTCTGATTACATTATATGACGAAATTACACATATATATACACGCTGGCTTTCCTTCCAAGTGGAATAAACCTTTCCATGCCTGAGCTTCAAATTTTCACTGCCTGTGGCTTTGTTTCTCAGGGATTGGTAGGGGCTGATTCTTGCATCTTCCATCTCTTCCTTATTCACTGTGAGCTAGGAAAGATTTAGGTATGATTCTCCCGACAAGTGAGGCAGGATCCTCTCCTTCATTGACAAGGACTATAAAAGTGAACCGCCGAAAAGCATTTCATGGCATTTTATCAGGAATATTGACGACTGTGAAGTTTCATGACTTATTGCACAGGTGAAAGCCATAC